GGCTGGGGCGCCGCCTCCCACCGCCGCCTCGCTCGGCGCGGGTCCCGGGGGTGGCCTAGGGTGTGTCTTCTCACCAGAGAAGCAGAGACAGACAGACAGAGAGACAGAAAGCAAGAAATCACACCCTGGGGGGATGGCCATGCCACAATCCTCTCTCCTCCATTCTCCTCTCAGAATTTTGGGCATGCACACACATGTGCCAGGTGTGAGTTTTAAGCCGCTGTGTCTGGAACTCAAACCACGGTTAACTACATGGGAGCCCAGCAAGATAACCAGTACGCCATCTGCTGGTCCCACTATTAATGTTTAAAAAGATGTATTGCAATATTTGAAAATCTGCCAGAATGTTGATTGATTAAAGCTGGTGGCAGCATGTGAACAGGCTTTTGTGAGTAGCTCCATACTTTCTGTGTTTGAAATATTACATAATAACGAGTATTTTTTTGAAGTCCAGAAATTCCCTATGCAATTTGTGCAAATGGTCTGTTCTTCTGCATAATATATAGCTTTGTCGGGTTTAATATAAAACAGAAAGATTGCTGGTCCTTGAAGGACCCCAAGATGAATTTAACAGAGGACAGCTGGTGGATGGTGGCCCCTTGTGAGAATGACAGCACTTAGTGGCTGTTTGTAGGGATTCTGCAGAGCTGGCGAGCTGTTTGTGTGTCGAGTCGTGTGTGGCCCTGTGACCTGGGGCCTTGCGCGGGTCTGCACGTACCCTAGTCTGAGAAGTGGAGCTCTGCAGGTTCTTCCTTGTCAGACCAGGGAGGACTTTGGTCAATGCCTACAAAGGGACCTGGTCACATTGGGCAGTGTCGCTTTCCAGGGAGGACCCCCACACGGCCTAGTCATCAGAGCAGAAGTGTGCCTGGGTCCAGGGACAAGGTGTGGCAGCCCCCACGCGGTGGGCCTGTTTGCCTTCTGCTCCTTGACCCATGCCTTTCCCTCTAGGGGAGGAAGACAATCTGCCTCTGCAGGCTGAGGTTTGGTAAACCAGGGCACAAGATCCTTAAATGTCAGAGATGGAACCGTACAGAATTGGAAACTGAGCCGGGGGCAGCAGGCACCACAGTCCAGGATACCACGTACACCAGCCTGCTGCAGCCCATCATGCGGTGGACCGCAGTGGGCCACTTGCCAGAAAGACATGTAAAGTATTTAAGAACCCAGGCACTGATTAGGCACAAGGATCAGTCAGTGTTAGCTAGAATGGGGCCCCTGCAGTCCCTCCCAGCTGTGGGTTAACTGTTTCGGTTGTGGAAAAGCCCACTGGACGCTAAGCTCAGGGCAGCGGCTCCTTATCCTGGTACCAGCAGATCTGCTGGCTGGTGTGGCATTCCGGGAGGCTACTGAGCAGCAGTCCTTGCAGGTCTCTGGTCAAGTGAAGACACGGCCCTCCTTCGTGCCTGTTCTGTCCTTGAGCACTGACTGCACTCCGAGCTCACTGCCGTGCTCTGTCTCTTCATCTCCCTGGCTGCGACGGCCGTGACCTGGCCCTGGCCTGCCCATGACAGTGCTCTGCCACCTGCGGACAGGGCATCCAACAGCGGCAGGTGGTGTGCCGGCCCAACGCCAACAGTCTCGGGCAGTGTGAGGGGGACAAGCCGGACACCGTCCAGGTCTGCAGTCTGCCCGCCTGCGAAGGTGAGCTGGATGAGGAGGAGAGGCCAGGCCCAGCTCCTCTGGCCTCGACCTGAGACAGCCCTGTCTCGCTCCTGGCCCCTGAGAAACCCCAAATACTAGAGCTGCTTCTCACTGCTCACAGGAAATCTCCAGAACACCACCATGAAGACTGGTGTCCCAGAGCCTGTGACTCCAGAGAAGCAGTGGGTACCAAAACCTGGGCCCCTAAACCCCATTAACAAGATATCAAGTAAGTGCTGACTTTGGACCCCATCCCACTCCCTAGTCCCTTAGGTGGCCCTGGCGTCACCAGCATGAGCTGTGCAGCTGAGCAGACCAGCTTGCCAGTCTGTGTGTCCCAGCTCCCTGGGCTATAGAGCCCTCACCGGGAAGTGAGGACGGTACCATACCGGGGCCCTGACCCTGATCTGCAGTTTCCAGAACGCCAAAAGCGGAAAGCCCTTTTCCTAAGTTTGGTGCAAATTCATCTGGTGACAAACCTTGATCTGAAATTACAAGAGATTATTTATTCTTTTGCTACAGAAACATTGCCATACTTGGTTACCAGGTGACAGCCCAGACTCAGCCAGGAATAGTCTATCACATAAATACACAGAGCATGCCTTTTTCTTACCCCAAAGGTTCTGAATTCTGCATCACATCTGGGTTCTAAGCTTTTCAGATAAGCAACTGGAGGTCGGAGCTGGCTTCCTAGGGCTGTGGAGAACATGCAGTGAGAGAACACCCTGCTCCTGCTGGGCTGCCAGCTCTCAGTGACAGCAGGAGGGTCTCTGTCCAAGGCAGGACCCAGCAGGACATCCTCCCATCGCTCCATCTGTTCAGCCATAAATAAGTATTGACTGAGCACCGGGCTGTGTTCTGTACTCCCTTCCCAGCTGCTGTCTCTCCTTTCCTCACCCTCTCAAGGGCCGGGTCTGGCAAGATGAATAGCAGCTCTGTGATCTCAGAGCCTGACTCCTGGCAGGAGGACCAGTTGGTTGCTGTGTGACCTTGTGCTGATCCCTTAACCTCCCCGAGCTCAGCAACCTCATCTGTAAAATAAAGGTTTTGAATCAGATGTCCTCAAAGAACCCTCTAGCTCCTGCCTTGCTGCTTTTCTGCTTCTATGCAGAAGTTCAGGCTGGACTAGTTCTTGGGTTTCCTTCCCAAACCAAAGGGCTGGCAGTGGTTCTGACCCTAGGATTCTGGCGCCACCTAGAGACCACTGGCTGTCTTTTTTTTTTTTTCTCTGCTCTTTCCCCTGTTCCCCCAAACTTGTCTGTGTCTATGTCTGTCTCTCTCTCTCTCTCTTTGGTGAAAAATTAGTAGAAAGCAAAGTTTCTGCCTCCATACTCTGTCTAGAGCGACCTACTTCTTTGCAGTCATCACAGAAACATTTTTAGATGACATTTTAGCAAAGCGAACTAGTATAGTGAGTACCCGTCTATGCCAGACTTCCCACGTGTTATGGTTGCGGTGTTGTTCATTGGTAAACGTCTGCAGTAGCTCCATCTTCTGGCTGAAGAACAGTGCCTGCAGTTTATGTGACTGGCACAAGACCTCACACAACCTCAAATAGTAGAGCCTAGGTTTGAGCCTGCACCTGCTTGATTCCAAGCTTAGCAGTGGAGGGCTTCCTGTTGCAATGTGTGCAGACCTGTGGCAGCTGCTTAATCTGCTTGTCATAAACAGGAGTTCTAGGGGCATGGAGGACAGACCCCGTGGCTTGATCAGGAGGGGTGAGGGTTCCCGTTTCCACCTGGAGTGTGTTCTCAGGCTTGGCTGCAGGTTAGAATCCCCAGGAGCCCAGGCCACACCCTGCCCTCCAGTCTCCCTAGGTGAAGGGAGTGGGCATGGAGCTCCATGGAAGGGGCTGGCATGCAGCCATGTCTTAGGAGGAATACTGGGGAGCCATGCTTCTCACATTGCCCCATGCCTCAGATCCCCTGGAGGGTTCTGTTAAACAGTGCTGAGCCACCCCAGAGCTCCTGATACAGGAATGATGGGGCCTGAGAACCTGCATTTCCAAACTCCTGGGTCATGGGGCAGTCTCTTGCATGTGGCAGGCCCACTCTGACATCATTGCCCTGGGGGCACTTAGCTCCCCTCCTACACAGTGAGGGCTTTCCTTGTCCTGCCACAGCCCTCTGGCCCTTCTTGGAGAAAGTTCTAGAGTGGGTCTAGCAGAGGCAGAGGGTAGAGGGTGATTGGCGGGGTAAGAGGGAGGTGGGACCTGTGTCCCAGTGCACTCCGGCTGATGATTGTCCCTGCTTTGTCCCTTGTCCTTGTGCTATGTGCAGCAGAGCCCTGCGTGGGGGACAGGTCCATCTTCTGCCGGATGGAAGTGCTCGACCGCTACTGCTCCATCCCCGGCTACCACCAGCTGTGCTGTGAGTCCTGTACCAAGAAGGCCTCAGGCCCCAGCACTAGCACTGACCTGAGGCTCACCTCACCACCCCCCTTCTCCACTCCTGGGAGCCCCTTACCAGGACCCAAGGCCCCTGCGGACACCATGGAGCCCGCGGGGAGACCAATGGGATCAGATGACCATCAGCACGGCCGACCCACACAGCTCCCAGGACCTGTGGGCACAAGCCCCCCAGTGACCCAGCATCCATCTGCCCCCCAGAAACTGAGCCCTGCAGTGTTCTGGGGTACTTCCCCTACCACTCCCCAGGAACTACCTTGGGGCTGGACTCAGGCACCAATACCAGCCTCTAAGGATGAAGTTCAACCCAGGGAAGACCCAAGGCATCCGGGTACCAGTCTCCCTGCCACCTCCCCGGTTACATGAGCCATGCCCCCGTCCTGCCAGTCATGTTTACACTGTGTGCTGCCCTGGCCATCCTGGCCCAGAGGATGCACAGTGGGACAGGGGCAAACCCAGGCTTCCTTTTAAGTTATTGCCTTTTTGTTCCTATTTGGGGAGGTAACACCCTTCACCCATGAAGGGGTGGGAGGAGGAGAAAGATCAGGGGAACCCTAACCAGAAATACCTCAGCAAGCAGCCCCAGTGTCTATGTGAGCCTCTGGGGGAGGGGCAACTAGCCTCTCTTGTGAGCACCGAGGGTTCTTCTTCACAGCCACAGGGCCCCAGGCAGGTCTGAAGCCCATGCAGGGAGCTGCCAGAGCTGCCTGCCCACCCAGAATTGTGTCTTCTCCCGTGGAAGCCCCTCTGCCCAGAAAAGCAAAGGCTGGCCAGGGGCTGGGGGACCACTCACAGTGTGAGAAGAAGGGGACTGAGTGTGGTTGACAGCTTCCTCACTTCAAAGCTGGGCCCCGGGGAGGCTAGTTCGTCTCAGGCCCCACTCCTGTGGTTGAGGGCTTGTGCAGCGAGGCCAGGGAGTAGAGGCCGGCTCACTCTGGCCTGCTGAGGGCCAGCCCGTGTGACCCTGCTCTGCCCTGCAGAGGTCACGTCTGTTTCTTCTAGAGACCCCAGGTTACAACTTCCAGTCCCACCCCAACCCCCAGGGGAGGGGCGAGGGACACTCTGAACCCATGTCCTCATCATCCAGGGGTTCCAAACTGGTGCTAGGCCCCTGGCCAGGCCAGGAGCAGTCATTGTAGTTATCACTCTGTGTCTCGAAGGACTTTGTGGGACACAGCAGAGACCTGACTGCTCAGGCTGTGCCCCTCAATCGTTGCCCTTCCCAGGCACTCCTCCTGCTGGAGTCAGGGGTCTTCTCCTTCCTGGCTCAGGTGGGAGGAGGTGTGTGGTGCTCTGAGGGGCAGTTGAGCCCCAAGCCTGACAACCAGCATCCCCTCATAGCCAGGCCCTGGGGAGGACAAGGACAACTCGGGCGGAGTACCCAGTGTGGGGTTGCAGGGACACTCTGACCCATGGTGCTGCAGGGCCTCGGCCAGGCTCAGTGCCCTCCAAGAGGCAGGTATCAACCCTAGCCCTCTGGCTGTGGAAAGTAGCCGGGTTCCAGGATACCTCCCAGGGGTCCTCATTCCTGGGTCCTGGAGGGCGTCTCCCAGCCTCCTCACCAAGTGACAGAGGTGCTTGTCAGTTTGTTCTTCCTTTCTCAGGGCCGGTAGAAGGAGCCATGATCCCCGGCTCACAGGTGGGGCTCATGAATAGAGATGGGTTCTCCTAGGTGCCAGCTTCTCCCGTGGGCCCTGGGGCACACGCTGAGGCGGTCCCATGAGCAGCAGCCTGGCCTGGGCTGAGGGCTATGCTCTTCTGTGCCTGGTGATCCAGACAGCTGACATCTTACCATATTTATTAACATTGCTCTGTGTCCTGTTTTGGACTTCTGACATGCTGTGTGTGTTTCTCATTTTTTTTTTTCTTTGTTTTGGAGTAAGGGAACAATGAATCCAAAGCTCTAAGGGCTGGTCTGTAGCAAGATGATTGGGGGGTGGGGGATGGACAGGGAGGGGCTCAAATTACAAGAAGACTTGACTCTGAGCCTCCCTAACTTGGCCCCAACTTTGGGGCCCCTGAGTATCAATTCAGGGTGTAGGGGGCAGAACAGACTGGGGGATTGGGGTCTCCCTCAAATACCAGCACCAAGGAGTTGTGTTGCCTTGGACAAGTCACTACCCAGAACTTGGCCAAAGGTCAAGGTGCCTGGGAAGTGTTTGGGGGTTCTAGAAGAGCATTCAAATGATCAGTGCTGTTCTAACATGCAAGAGTGCTTTCCCAAGAAGCTGGTGAGTGCACTGGCTCTGGAAGAATCTGAGCAGAACGTGGACACTGAGATGGGAGGAATGTGGTGCATTTTACTGGGCAGGACGGGCTGATGTAAAACAGGTGCTGCACAATTTAAAACCTCTGGCCCATACCTCGCCTCTTGCCAGTGTCAGACATCACTAATCGATCACCACACTGCTTCAGTGTATCACGGGCCCCTCCCTAGCATTGAGGGGATCCAGGATAAGAGTACAGACAGACACACCTGGCTGAGCACTCCTCTCCCCACCCTTCCCTGGCTTTGTCCTCTAAAATTTCATGTGACTGTGTATGGACAGTCTATCCCTCAAGGCCAAGTTCCATTTACATCCTCTGTAAGTAGCCTCCTCTTGGAAGTTACCTCTTTGCAAACAGCTGCCATGTAGGCCTAGAAATACCCATGTGGTAATAGTCACACTTTAGGGAGGCTGGCCTAGGGAGGCGCTAGTATGGGCCCCAGAAGTGGGCTTAGAACCCTTAGGCAGGGGATGCTGTGACACCAGGTACCCAGGGTGTGGTCTGCAAAGAGGCCCTGAGTGGGCACTTCTTTTTAGCCAGTGCAATCTTTGCCTGGGGTGGGAGTGAGGGGATTAGTGTGGACAAGAGGTGATGTATCTAAGAACTCTAGCCCCCAGCTGTAACTGTGGTCCTGCACATTGCATGGGGCAGGGATAATAGCATGGAAAACACATGCCAATATGCCCCCATCTTGTGCCCATGGCAGGCATTGCCAATCTATCACTGCACTCTTCTCCACTGAGCCAAGATTCTCCCGAAGAATTCTCTTCATGTCGTGTACCGGGTAATGACAATTAATCATTGCTACCATCAGGTCAAGGAGTAGGGGAGTGGGATCAGTCATTTTTATCTTTAAAGCACTGGAAACCTTTGCTGGGTGTTTCCCACAGGATGTTGTGGACAAGATAAAGCCTTCCCTGTGGAAAGAGAGCCCAGGAGAGGGTGGTCCAGCCAGCAAGAAGCTACAGCCCAGTCCCACTGGGGCAGAGGGAAGTTGGTGACTGGATTCTGTCTGAGTTAACATGAGGAGCAGGCACCAGAGGCAGAGGGGCTGGGTGACTCCATATCTGTAGGAGCCTCAAAAATCTTTATGCTATGAGACTTGGAGGGTTCAAGAATATCTCACCTGGAGACTCCCAAAATATTCAGACAAGAAGCCATTTTAAAGCTGAGGTGTGTCCTGGCCTGTTCAGGGAAGCTATTCTCTAAACTCCATCTTCTAGACTCCCGGAATATTCAGAAAAGTATTGAATTGAAAGCTGAGGTGTGTCCTGGCCTGTTCAGGGAAGCTATGCTCTAAACTCTATCTTCTAGACTTCAAAATATTCAGACAAGAAGCCATTTTAAAGCTGAGGTGTGTGCTGGCCTGTTCAGGGATGCTGTGCTCTAAACTCTATGTTCTAGAATCCCCAAATATGTGGACAAGAAGCCAATTTTAAGTTGAAGTATGTCCTGGCCTGTTCAGGGAAGCTATGCTCTAAACTCTATCTTCTAGACTTCAAAATATTCAGACAAGTATTGAATTGAAAGCCGAGGTGTGTCCTGGCATGTTCAGGGAAGCTCTGCTCTCAACTCTTCTTCTAGACTCCCAAAATATTCAGACAAGTATTGAATATTAAGTGAGGTGTGTCCTGGCCTGTTTAGGGAAGCTATGCTCTATACTCCATCTTCTAGACTTCTGAAATATTCAGACAAGAAACTATTTTAAAGCTGAGGTGTGTCCTGGCCTGTTCAGGGAAGCTATGCTCTAAACTCCATCTTCTAGACTTCTGAAATATTCAGACAAGTATCGAATTTAAAGCTGAGGTGTGGGGACCAGCACTTGGCATAATGGCTATTTCGCTGGACTCCCATGTAGTCGACTGCAGTTGGAGTCCCAAACCTGGTGGCTTAAACTCATGCGGGGTGCATATGTGTGCATGCCCACAATCCTGAGAGGCGATTGGAGGATTAGAGATTGCGGCATGGCCATTACCACTGGGGTGTGATTTCTAGCTTCCTGTTTCTCTGTCTCTGTCTTTCTGGCGAGTGCACATGCCCTATAGCAAAAACCTCTCAAAAAAATAAAAATAAATAAATAAATAAATAAATAAATAAATAATAAAGCTGAGGTATGCCCGGGCCTGTTCAGAGAAGCTATTCTCTAAACTCCATCTTCTAGACTCCCGAAATATTCAGAGAAGATCGAATTTAAAGCAGAAGTGTGTCCTGGCCTGTTCATTTTTTACATGTAAAAAATTTTTTCCCCTCTTTTTTGGTAGTATTTTTCTAGTTTTTCTTTTCTCTTTGTATTTTTTTAGCCTTGCTTTTCCACTCTAAGCTTCACTCCCCACACACTGAATGTCTGTATAGGTCTACGAGCACAGTAGCCTACCATCTGAATACTTTTAGAATCATGGAAATCCTCCACGCTGATTGAACCTCCTGCTCTAATGAAGAAATTTCTTTTTATAAATCTGAACTCCTAATCTTTCTGTGGATAGCACATTGCAAAGCACAGTGGAGGAGAGATTTTGTCACAGAATGACCAGAAACTGCACAGGCACTAGAGACATGAGAAATCAAGAAAATATCTCTCTCCTAAGGGAAAAGAACAATCCCTCATCATCCACAGACAGTACAGTAGAACTCATGGAAATGTCTGATAGAGAATTCAGAATATTTACAGTGACAAAACTAAACAAGATGCAAGAGCTGAGAGATAATGAACTCCAGAAGATGCAGCAGAAAAGAGACAATGAGTTCCAGGAGGTGTTGAAGTTCTTCCATGATCTGAAAGAGGAAATACACACCATAAAAAAGAATCAGATGGAGCTATTAGAGTTGAAGGCTGCCATTGAGGAAATCGAACCTCCCTCAAAAGTATTAAAAGCAGATTAGTCCATGCAGAAAATCAAATCTCGGATGTTGAAGGCAAAACCTCTGATCTAAAAAAAAAAAAAAAAAAAAAAAACAACTGTGAAAATAACCCAAAAGAAATGAGAGTACTATACAAGAAATACTAGATGGCATTAGGCGCCCAAACGTCCAGACAATTGGTATCCCAGAAGATGAGGAAACTAATCAGGGCATTGATAATCTATTCCATGAAATCTTGGAAGAAATCTTTCCAAATCTAGAGAGCCATTCAAAGATCCAGTCCCAAGAAATACAAAGGACCCCTAATAGAGTCAACCCAAGAAGATCTTCTCCAAGGCACATCATAGCCAGACTGGCCAAATCTACAGATAAAGACAAGATACTAAAATTGGCAAGAGAGAAACGTCAGGTTACTTATAAAGGTGATCCAACGTCACTGGAATAACTTAAAAAGAATCACTATACTTGGCTTTTTAAATTATTGGTACGTATGTTAAGAATTGGGTACAAATTGAAATGTCTGTACTGATACTTGACACAACCAATAAATCTCAATTACAAAACTAAAAAAGAGAAAAAGGTTATCCCATCAGGCTAACCTCAGAGCTTTCATCAGAAACAGTGTGAGCAAAGAAAGAATGGGAAAATATATTCAAAGTGTTAAGTGAAAAACAGTTTCAACCAAGAATACTATATCCAGCAAGATTATCCTTCATATGGAAAGAAAGGATAAAAACATTCTCAGATAAATAAGACCTGAAAGAATTTGCCAATAGCAGACTCACTCTTCAAGAAGTTCAGAAAGGAGTGCTCTACCAGGAAAACTAAAGACACACATACAGAAATAAGAGAACAAAAGACAACCAAGAAAATGGCCAATTTAATGCTAGGGACAAGAAATATCAATAATAACGTTGAATATTAACTTCCAGGATTTAAATGGAAAGATTGGACCACAGTAACACTGCATATTCAATAGAAGAGTTTGAACATAAGACTGAATTGGAGAAATAGACTTTTATGACTTTTGAGTAAAACATTACTGATTTTTTTTTTACTATGCTTTGTTTTCCAAATTTTAACATTTTACTCTTTTGAGTTGTGATAGGTTCAGCAATTTGTTGAAATACTTTTCTTGTTTATTTCTTTAAATAGAAACATAAACTTTTCTTCCTTCCTGACCCCTCTTGAATTGGAAATATTTGGGAGTATTCTTCTTTTTGGCAGAAGGGTTATTTGCACAAGTTCAATAATGCTTGTTGTATTGAATCAGAAATCGGAAATACTCATTATTGCAGAGGGCTTTGACTGGAATGTCACATCTGAAGATTAATCAGGAAACTATGGAACGAAGGTGGATCTCAAGTAAGCCAACAGAAGCTCTTAGAAAGATGGCCTGGCACCATAAATAGTTCTGCCTGGCAGAGAGAATTAGAGAAGATAAATGAAAGAATTTATAACATAAATTAACCTGGACTTTTCCAGCCCAGCATAGTAATCAGTAGAGATTGCAAAAAAGCAACCACACCAGAGGATTATCTTGAGAAAGACTTTGAAGGAAGAAAAAGAGACTGATCTTTTCTAGGAGATGGTATATCACAGAATACTTGGTAGGCAGGGCTGAATTGAGGTTTATGTGTGACTTCTGTGCTGGGCATTTGCTTTTCAACAATTTGAGTAGTTGACATGTAAATATTTTCTCAAAAATATTTAAAACCATACTGTTTCTGTTGTTATAGAGTCACAAAGTCATACAAAATTATAAGAAATATTTTGAACATTATCTTTAAAATTCTGAAATTTTGAAAGCTGTTTGTTAATTGTCAAAAACTATGGAGTACAGGGAACCAGCAGTTAGCGTAATGGCTATGTCGCTGGACTCCCACGTAGTCGACCGTGGTTCGTGTCCCGGGCCCGGTGGCTTAAAACTCACGCTGGGCACGTGTGTGTGCGTGCGTGCCCAAGATCCCGAGAGGAGAATGGAGGAGAAGGGATTGCGGCGTGACCATCCCCCCTGGGGGGAGATTTCTCGCTTTCTGTCTCTATGTCTCTCTCTGTCTGTCTGGCAAGCGCACGCGCCCTACAGTGAAAATCTCTCAAAAAAAAAAAAAAACTATGGAGGAAAAACAAAAATTTTCTGATATGTAAAGTAAATGTGGAAAAATGTAAAAATAAATATATGGAAAAAAGAAATACATAGATTAAGAAAAAAAAAGAATATCTCACCTGTAATGCCAAGAGCAGGGGTGACTACAGAGAGATAGACCAAATATTGGACAGCAGTCCTGGACCAGGATTTGGGATGCTGTCTATGCCAAGGGTGCTGCTGGCAGTTGGCCAGCTTGCAAAACACTTTCACTAAATTTTGCTCGCAGTTTTATTCTTTCACTTTGCAGATGAGGGCACGGGGGCACTGGGAAGTACAGGGCCCTGCTCAAGAAAGGCGGCCAGAGCTGGAATGTGACCCAGGTGTGGATTCAGCCCTGAGTTCTTGCAGGCCAGCAGGGGAAAGGAGCCAAGTGTGCTGGGCCAGGCAGTGATGAGGTGCTTCACTGAGAGTGAAGAGAAGGAGGCCTCCTAACTGCCTCCTCCCCACCCTGAGACTGGAAGCAGCTGGAAGTCCCTGCTGCAGTTATAGCTCCTCTGCGCCTGTGGCCTCAGCTGCTCAAGGATGCCCCCTCACGGACCACTGCAGGATCTGCACTAGACCTTCCAAATGCAGTGCTACCCTGGGCTTCTGCAGCTGGCACCTGTGCGGAGAGGTCGGGGTGGGGGTGGGGCTCCAGCTGGGGAACAGGATAGTTCAGTAGCCCCAGTCTGAAGTTCTCCAGGGCTGGGGCCTGGGCATGTCGCCAAGATGGGCTGTCCCATTGTCCCTCCCTTTCCTGGGCTCCTGCAGGTAGAAGGCTTGGTTTCCACCAGTTTGTGGGTTATGGAATCTTCCACTGTATGGAGGCCTAAAGCGCAAGACTACACTGTATCCCATGAGGGAGCTTCAGGAAAAAATATCTTTTGTGATTCAAACTTGTGAAAATTTTACCTTGTCTAAATGCACCTAGTAAAACTTACTAAAGGAATCTCAGTAACCAGAGAACTAAAAGAGTCTCTGAAAAGAACGTATCAACAAACACTTCAGAATTTGCATCCCTGAGTAAATAAACCTGCCCTGCTGGGGGCACTGAGAACAGGTGAAGCTGGACTGAAGGCCTCTGCAACCGTGGGGGGCTGACTTGTCCCCTTAATGCACAGGAGGAAGTGGTTTTAAAGCTCCCCCCCACACACACACACACACACCAGGGTGGGGTGAGGCAACAAAGGCAGAGTAGGCAACCGCAGCTGGAGGCAATGACGGGTTTTTTATTTTTATTTTTTGAGAGGTTTTTGCTGTAGGGAGTGTGCGCTCACCAGAAAGAGAGAGAGAGATGGAGAGACAGAAAGCGAGGAATCAGCCCCTAGCGGGGATGACCACACCACAATCCCTTCTCCTCCATTCTCCTCTCGGGATCTTGAGCACGCATGCACATTCACCTGGCGTGATTTTAAGCCGCCGGGTCCGGGACTTGAACCGCGGTCGACTATGTGGGAGTCCAGCGACATAGCCATTACGCTAACTGCTGGTCCCAATGACGGGCTTTTAAGGATGTAGTTTCTATGTCTAATGTTTCATTAACTCTGCTAGTGTTACCAACAAACTTGTTAGTCTCCCCAAATCTCTGGGGATGCCCAATCCCCAAATTAAGGGATTTTTGTTTTGCATGGGTCAGAATTTTCATTTGTTTTAGTGGGAATCAGAAGATGCATGAGTGGTGAAGGAGCAGGCTGGAGGAGCCCAGCAAAGCCCAGGAAAGCAGAGGAGGATGGAGTACTGAACGGGCAAGATACCCTCTCCCCTCGCCCCCCCTCTGATGACTCCAGGCAGTCACAGCTGCCTGGGAGGTCACTAAACTCTGCACAGAGATTCCAGAGGGCTGCTGACCTAAGGGAGACGGAAACCCAAGCTGACGTCTGGGTTTTGGGAAAGAAAACACCTCCAATTTATATAGCAGCTTTGGTAATACGGTGTTTATGTTGTGTTGATGGAAATAACTGTAAAAATATTTTTAGAAGCTTATTCCTAGCAACCTTATGAGTGGCCACAGCCGGGGGCACGGGCAGGGCGGCTTGGATGCAGCAGCTCTTTTATTTTGTTCCAAGAGTGCGAGATAAAAGCAAAACCACACATCAACACAGGGAGTGTTCACATCGGGCTGGGCCCCAGGGAAGGAACATCTACAAGTGGAGTTTCCAAGCTGTAGGTGGATTTAGGCACACTTAGGTTAGTGACTGGTTAAAAGCCCACGTCTGTCTCAGAGAGGTTCAGAGACAGCAGGAAAGAGT